AGTGGTTATATTATACACAGTGTGTAGTTGGTAGAGGTCGTAATATACACAGTGTGTAGTTGGCAGCGGTCGTGATATACACGACGTGTAGTTGGTAGAGGTCGTAATATACACAGTGTGTAGTTGGTAGAGGTCGTAATATACACAGTGTGTAGTTGGCAGCGGTCGTGATATACACGACGTGTAGTTGGTAGAGGTCGTAATATACACAGTGTGTAGTTGGTAGTGGTCGCAATATACACAGTGTGTAGTTGGCAGTGGTCGCATTATACACAACAGAAAGCAAATATTCTTGCAGTAATCTTCACCAGTCTCTCTACCGTAGTCAACAATAGTGATACAATAGCGTATGATGTGGTGGAGGTGGAAACTATCTAGAGAAGTTAAATACAGTGATCTGTAAGTGCCCAAAACTTGAGGTTGTAAAAAAGGGTGCCAAAGGTCACCGGCCGTTCTTTATAAAGTAGGAACTGCCATAAGTCACCGGTTTCTCCGGCACGCAAGTTATATTTTTTGTATCAAACTGAGCACATATTACTCTGTTAAATAATATTCCAGTAGTGCTTTCATGAGCTAGTCCAAAACCACCGACTGGATTCGTTCAAAAATAAGTGATCCACTGACCAAATTCGTCCAAAAATAAGTGAATGAATGATTGGATTCAAATGCTGACAGAGTTTTTCTAGGTGCCCTTGAGACCCAAGCAGATTAGTTGAGAAAGAAGGTATTCTCTCGCCGGATTCATAAGCTAATGGAGTTTTAGGCACCCTTATCAAGCACCCAAATAGTTACTGCAAGCAGCGGTAGATACACACGAAACTCTGTATAGCTTGCAACTGCAGCAACAAACAGGCTTCTGCATGGATTACATGTAACTTCTGAGAAAATGGGCCCACGCATCTTGTGCATATATTAAGGAATCATCTGCAGGAGATATTAAACTAGGGAAGTTTTTGGTTAGGCCCAAATGAGAATCAACTGTGGAAAAAATCACATTGGAATAAAAAGATGGAAACATCCAAACAGCCTTGATAGAGAACCTAACAGCATTCTATAACAGATGGGCAAATAAAAGGACTGGGCCAAATGGTGCTATTGCCCCTGATACATGCTGTCCTGTCCTGGTAGACAGTAACTGTAAGAATAAAGAAATGAAAGTTGGTGGCTCAGAGGAAGACAGGAGCTCTGTTATGAACATAGCCAGTTGGTCCCTGGGTTATAGTGCTTTTCGTAACAAACTAACAAACTTAGCACTTCTTGGGGTCTTCACTTGTACAGGAAAAGGAATTTTCTTGGTTTCTATTTAATTTATTAATAACCATAATAACCACTTAAATCCACTTTTTCATATTTTGCACAATGAGTAGAACACTTATCCCACTCCTCATTAAAACATCACAGTACTAGGTTAAGTATTTACAAATGGCTCTGAGACAGGAAATATCAGTATATGTACAGGCACAGGTGTTGCTTAAAAACTTGAACACCACATTGATAGCTCTTACATAGGGTTCACTCTGTGATAAGCCCTCTACAACACAGAGGCTTGCTCACTTGGTTTCACTTTCTTTAAGAGTTTCTCAACTGCCTTCTCCAAACGAGGTAAGTCTTAGCAATGAGTTTCCGAAAATTCCCGGTATTTTCTAGGAAGGCGAATGGTGGTTTAGAGGCGGATATTTCCCTAGACTCTTCCTGGTCCAGAGGAAGGTATGAACTGAACAAATTAAGGCTTTACCAGCCAACTTTGACTCGGTCGGAGCAGGGGTTGAGCAGCTCAAAACACCTACTGGTCGCACCAGCAGTTTGGACTAATTAAATAACCTACCTATGTACAAAGCTAAGTAATACGACCAGACAATATTATAAAGTCGAGTAAATCCATTTTAGCTACTAATGGAATTACTCCTGAATATAATATTAAGTGAAATAGCAACAATATCAAAAGTAGAAATTGTCTACTTAAAATGGACAAAAGGGTGTAACAAGCTCTTCTGGGGAAGCAGGTAAAGACAAGGACATGCAAAACCCACCGGAGATAGTAAACAAGGGGATGCCGCAAGGATTAGAGAAGATAAAATACCAGAAAATACTTGTGAAAGCACCATTGTTAGCGCAAGTGCTGAAGATAATAAAGAGACAGAGAAACACGCAGTAGGTAATGCAGTACGAGAAACCAAGCCAAATCAAAATCAGACCTATGTAAATTCTATGCCTTAGGTATCTGCAGGCATGGAATATCTGCAGGCATGGAATATCTGCAGGCATGGAATATCTGCAGGCATGGAATATCTGCAGGCATGGAATATCTGCAGGCATGGAATATCTGCAGGCATGGAATATCTGCAGGCATGGAATATCTGCAGGCATGGAATATCTGCAGGCATGGAATATCTGCAGGCATGGAATATCTGCAGGCATGGAATATCTGCAGGCATGGAATATCTGCAGGCATGGAATATCTGCAGGCATGGAATATCTGCAGGCATGGAATATCTGCAGGCATGGAATATCTGCAGGCATGGAATATCTGCAGGCATGGAATATCTGCAGGCATGGAATATCTGCAGGCATGGAATATCTGCAGGCATGGAATATCTGCAGGCATGGAATATCTGCAGGCATGGAATATCTGCAGGCATGGAATATCTGCAGGCATGGAATATCTGCAGGCATGGAATATCTGCAGGCATGGAATATCTGCAGGCATGGAATATCTGCAGGCATGGAATATCTGCAGGCATGGAATATCTGCAGGCATGGAATATCTGCAGGCATGGAATATCTGCAGGCATGGAATATCTGCAGGCATGGAATATCTGCAGGCATGGAATATCTGCAGGCATGGAATATCTGCAGGCATGGAATATCTGCAGGCATGGAATATCTGGAAAAACAAATGGGACGTGCAACTTTGACCTTTATTACAGGTATTTCTCAAAGTTTATATTAGTCATAGGAATTTAATTTTTGTTTTTAATTTGTACACATGCCATCATAGATGAAGTATTCTCTTATATTAAATTTTAATGAAAATTTATGTATCTACTGAAGAGTCTAGCGCATCTAGATGTACAGGGAAATTTACAATTAAATTATGTATCCGTTAGATTATAATAATTATTGTAATTTCCATCCACTGTAGTTATATTATGAAAATCAGATAACCTTACATGAAGGAAATCTTTCCTAAAAGAAAGAATTTTGTAATCATATATCAAACTGTCTACAAACAAAACAGGAGATATAGCAGAATTAATCTTAATCCGAACACTAAACAGAGTGACATATTGAGAAGAAAGAATCAGACAATGTGTATAACAGCTATCACAAGAAGACAGTCATGCTAAGAAACCATAATCAGAAAAAGCAAATCTTCCAAAATCAGTAATAATACAGTCATACCTACAGGGAAAACACAATATGACAAGACCTAAGTACCTGGGAGAGTAGAAGGATACATTACCTGGACACTACACAATCCAGTTTGTTAGGTAAGACACATATGCAACAGTTAGGTATCTTTATTACGAAACGTTTCGCCTACACAGTAGGCTTCTTCAGTCGAGTACAGAAAAGTTGATAGAAGCAGAAGATACTTGAAGACGATGTAATCAGTCCATCACCCTTAAAGTTTTGAGGTGGTCAGTCCCTCAGTCTGGAGAAGAGCATTGTTCCATAGTATGATACTATGGAACAATGCTCTTCTCCAGACTGAGGGACTGACCACCTCAAAACTTTAAGGGTGATGGACTGATTACATCGTCTTCAAGTATCTTCTGCTTCTATCAACTTTTCTGTATTCGACTGAAGAAGCCTACTGTGTAGGCGAAACGTTTCGTAATAAAGATACCTAACTGTTGCATATGTGTCTTACCTAACAACCTGTCGGTATTTTATACAATCCAGTTTATCAGTACACTGTTAGTGTAACATGAGATGTCTGTATTAAGCTTCAACTTGATCTCAAAGGGTTCAGTTTGTCCTCCAGAGTTACAAACGTGACTAACATGACTTTCCACTTGTACAAAGGTCTATAAGCCAACCAAAACTACAAGAACGTGATTTTACTAATCTGAAATCAATTCATTTAGACTCAGCTTTAATCAACACTATCAATATCATTTCACAAACTCGGAGTCTCACCAATGTCCATAACCGAAGATTTACCCAGCTGATTGTACGTAAACCCAGCACAGCCAAATCACACAGAATGATTTGAAAAAAGTGCCTGGCAAGACGAGACGTCTTATAATACAAGGTCATAAACTACATATTGCATTATTGTCATCACATTGTGTGTGTAATTTCTCATTTATACGAGTGAGTGACTGTTGACCCACTGTTCCTACAGGAGTTCTTCCAGCGGGTGTCATACTTCCACAGCGCCAGCTGCTGCGACTCTGAAAGTGACGATGAGGGGTTCATCGCCAGCGGCTCCCTCAACCCCAGCCAGGAGGATGCTGAGGCAGAACACTCCTTCTCTGCCTCCCTCCCTCCTTTCCAATCCTTCTCTGCCTCCCTCCCTCCCTTCCAAACCTTTTCCACCTCCCTGCCTCCCTACCTCCCGCACAACCATAACAACCACCAGCATTACTACCACGACAACGGTCCAGATACTGACGACGACACAGCTGGAGAAGACGACCTGGTAAGTCAGTTATAAGAACATAAGAATGGAGGAACACTGCAGAAGGCCTACTGGCCCATGCGAGGCAAGTCCTTATCAAAACGACCTCTATCTAAAGCTACCCAAGAAATAACTCCCGTACCCGATGACACCAATCAAACCCAGCCCCTCCCACTCATATATTTGTCCAGTCTCTTCTTAAAGCTACCCAAGGTCCTAGCCTCTATCACACCACTGGGAAGACTGTTCCACGCATCTACAACTCTGTTAGAAAACCAGTACTTACCTATGTCCTTTCTAAATCTAAATTTATCCAACTTAAATCCATTATTTCTGATTCTTACCTGGTTCGACACCCTCAGTACTTTATTATCTCCCTTGTTTATGCCCGTCATCCACTTATGCACTTCAATGATATCTCCCCTCATTCTACGCCTCTCCAGAGAGTGGAGATTTAAGGCTTTAAGTCTATCTTCATACGGGAGGTTCCTTACACAGTAAATCATTTTAGTCATTCTTCTCTGTATGTTCTCTAATGAGTCTATGTCCATCCTGTAGTAAGGGGACCAAAACTGAGCAGCATAATCTAAATGAGGCCTCACTAGTGATGTATAGAGCTGTAAAATAACTTTTGGACTTCTGTTACTTATACTTCTTGAGATAAATCCAAGTAATCTGTTGGCCTTGTTGCGCACACTAAGGCACTGCTGTCTTGGCTTCGGGTTTCTACTTACCATGACACCCAAGTCCTTTTCACATTCTGTATGACCAAGCTCTACTTCACCTAGATTATAGCTTCGAGGGTTATTTTCATTACCAAGGGCAAGTACCTTATACTTATCCACATTAAACTTCATCTGCCATTTCTCAGACCAAGACATTAATTTGTCCAAATCCTCCTGGAGTTGTAGATGAATGGTTCAGAGAACCATGTTGATAAATTAGACACATGTGCAACTCTTCGGTATCTTTATTGAGGAAACGTTTCGCCACACAGTGGCTTCATCAGTCCATACGTAGGAGAAACTTGAAGAACAGGAGGAGAATGAGGTAATCAGTCCCTCAACCTTGAGTCGATGTGTTCAGTCCATCAATCTTGAATAGATTGATGGACTGAACACATCGACTCAAGGTTGAGGGACTGATTACCTCATTCTCCTCCTGTTCTTCAAGTTTCTCCTACGTATGGACTGATGAAGCCACTGTGTGGCGAAACGTTTCCTCAATAAAGATACCCAAGAGTTGCACATGTGTCTAATTTATCCTCCTGGAGTTCGTTGCTATCCTCCTCAGAGTGAATTATACGACCTATCTTTGTATCATCAGCAAACTTACTCATGTCACTCGTAATCCCTTCATCAAGGTCATTAATATAAATTACGGTATATCCAGAGTGAAGAGCTAAACCTGTAAGATTTTGCAAAGCATGTGGAACTGGAGGTAATTAATAAGAATAATAGTATTTAACTGATTTCTTGAGGTAATGTATCACCTGGAGAATGACACGTAATTATTATATACATGAGGAAGCGATAAACCAGTAAGAGTCATACAGCATTTAGAATACGAGAAGTATTTATAGCTAAATTAGCAGGGAAACGATAAAGCCATAGGAAACATATATGGTAAGAAGGTAGTTATGGTAGTGATGGTAGTGAAGGTGGTGACGGTAGTGATGGTAGTGATGGTAGTGATGGTAGTGATGGTAGTGATGGTAGTGAAGGTGGTGACGGTAGTGATGGTAGTGATGGTAGTGAAGGTGGTGACGGTAGTGATGGTAGTGAAGGTGGTGACGGTAGTGATGGTAGTGAAGGTGGTGACGGTAGTGATGGTAGTGAAGGTGGTGACGGTAGCGAAGGTAGTGATGGTAGTGATGGTAGTGATGGTAGTGAAGGTGGTGACGGTAGTGATGGTAGTGAAGGTGGTGATGGTAGTGATGGTAGTGAAGGTGGTGACGGTAGTGATGGTAGTGATGGTAGTGATGGTAGTGATGGTAGTGAAGGTGGTGACGGTAGTGATGGTAGTAAATGGAGTGAATGGTGTGACGGTAGCGAAGGTAGTGATGGTAGTGATGGTAGTGATGGTAGTGAAGGTGGTGACGGTAGCGAAGGTAGTGATGGTAGTGATGGTAGTGATGGTAGTGATGGTAGTGATGGTAGTGATGGTAGTGAGGTGGTGACGTAGTGTTGGGTTTAGTGATGGTAGTGAAGGTTGAGGAGTGATGTAGTGAAGGTGGTGACGGTAGCGAAGGTAGTGATGGTAGTGATGGTAGTGATGGTAGTGATGTAGTGATGGTAGTGATGGTAGTGAAGGTATATGGATAGTGATGTAGTGAAGTAGTGAGGTAGTGATGGTAATTGATGGTAGTGATGGTAGTGAGGTGAGGTAACTGTAGTTTGATGTAGTGAAGGTGGTGAGGTAAG